CGGGTTCTTGGCTCAATGGTAAAGCATTTGATTTCAAATCAAGAGACACATGTTCAAACTTGATTTGACCCTTGTTTTTTCTTTTTTTGATACAAAATCTGGTGTGTAATTCATTGAGAACGGGCCTACGTGTCATTCATAATATGTGGAAATCCCGAACATTCATCCAGCTAAGTTCTATTGAGGCGTTGAACCCTCTATTTCCATGTCATATCTTTTACGGACACCATATCATATAGTGGGTATACGATCCATCCTACGATACATGTGGTGAGGACAAAATGTTGACACACCCAATTGAAAGATCCATTTTAAAGAAAGTCAACCAAGATAGGGTATGTCCCATAGAGTAGCTCGATAGAACATAAGACCCATCATGGGTCCTCCTTAGCTCAGTGGTAGAGCATTTGACTGCATATCAAGAGATCATCGGTTTGAACCTAGTAGGGCCCTTATGATCGATCCAACGTTCGACCCATTAGCTCAGTGGTAAAGCATTTGACTTTAGATCAAGAGGTCATCAGTTTATGATCGATCCAACCTTCGACCCATTAGCTCAGTGGTAAAACATTTGACTTTAGATCAAGAGGTCATCAATTTGAACCGGTCCTTATTATTTATTCTTTTGGTACAAAATCAAGAGGTAGCTGTCCGCTCGACAATGCTCGCCTATCATAGCTCGTTCATTCATTCCCAACTAGAATGGGCCCACATGTCATTCATAATATCAAGGTATCCTGAACATCCATCCATTCGAGTTCTATTGAGACATTGGATCCTTTCGTGTTCATGTCATATCTTTCACGGATTCCATATCAGACAACGGGTATATGATCCAACCTCTGCCACATGGGGTGAGGACGCCATGTCGACACATCATTGTCATTTGACACTATCCTTGAAAGACCCATTTTAAAGAAAGTCGTCAAAGACACACATGCCCCATAGAGTAACTCGCTTAGGACAAAAAAAAAACTCATGGATTGGTCCTTAAGGCGAATTTGAGTGTCATACTAAATCTCAACATTAGAGAGTGGTCAAGGATGAAATGGTGGATTTGAGTGCTTGAGTGCCAAACTAACACCATTAGAAAGTGGTGAAGAATGAAATGACGGATTTGAGAGTCAGATTAAATCTCGCTATTAGAGCGATGGGGAACCAAACCCCAACTTGAGGCGCCAATTCAATAAGATAAAGGTTTCGGAGCATAAACCCTTCTATGGTGTTCAAGATCCAAAACTCTAGAGAACTTTATCTTTAACCTCAAATAGTACTTTCAAACAACAAACACTGTGTCGGAAGAAGCAAAGGTCTTGTTGGCAACAATGAATTTAGTTGACAATGCAAAGTTGTGGTGGAGATCTAAATACACTAACATTCAAGATGGTTGATGTATTGTGGATACTTGGGAGAGCTTAAAACAAGAACTTTGCTCTCAGTTCTTCCTATAGAATATTTGAGATAATCACAAGAATAAAGTTAAGAGAGTTGAGGCATACCGGCAATATCCGAGATTACTTAAGCAGTTTTTTGGCTTATGTTAGAGAAAGATAAGGTCTTCAATTTTTTTGAGGGGCTGAAGGTGTGGGTGAAATCAAGTTTTACGAATAAAGAGTTCAAGACCTTTCCACGACCTATGCTACAGCAGATAAATTGTTTGATTTTAATATTAATCAACCACAAGAGATAAGCCAAAACTAGGCATATGCAACCGGAGGAAATTAAAATTATCGACCCAACTCCCCTAAACGTGGGGGAAGTGACAAACTTGAAGGTGGAGGAGGGGAATGTGAATCATCCCAACATAGAGGTAGAACTCGAGGGCCAAGACCTTACACCCGGAACAATCATAGTCAAAATCAATGCCCCTCGCCTTGCTTCACATGCAAGGGAGCCCACCAAGAAAATGAGATAGCCAAATTTGGAATGAACTTGAAAGGTGAGTACGAGATGGCCAAATTTGAAACATAGCTAGTCGAAAACGTGGAAAAACCTCGCATGGGGGCCTTAAAGATTTTTATCTGCTCTTCAGAAGAGAGTAAGTGAGATAGAACAATCAATAGAACGCAGTCATATTCATGTTGAGACCTGGGTCAACCCTAAAGTGGCAAAGAATTGTATTGTCCACTATAGAACTACCCATAACTTCATGATAGAGACTGAAGTGAAACGCTTGAACATCCTATAGCATAGAGATAGGAGACGAATGAAAACTTTTAATTTAGTAGCCTTACATGTCTCAACTGTTGTAAAAGAGAACTACATTAACAATAAGAACTTGGACAGGACAAACCGATTTTGTGATAGTGAAGATGGATGACTTTGACATGTTACTATAGATATCATATTTGACTCTTCATTATAGGTAAATATCTAGGTATTTTCCTTCTACTACTATTTACTCATTTTGTTCCTTTGTTTTAGGCAAATATCTTGTATTCATTTATTGTTTTTTTCATATCTTTTTTAATTTATTTGATTTATAAATGATTATAAAAAAAAAAAAAAAATCACCACACGGCTTGGGCTTAGGCTTTTTAAGTAAATATTCGCATGGTATTAGAGCCCTTTCGACTTACCAACCCCGATCTATTATTTTCAATGGCTTTTGAATCCTTTACTCATCTTCTTCTCCACCACCATGCCGGCTTTGACGCCGTAGGGGCAGTCTCCATGACTGCCGCAAGCAAAGCCGATTGATTACTCTTCGGCTCCACCCTTTTAGTCTCCAAATCATCCTTCTCAAGCCCACCTTTCGCCATCTTCTCTACATAAAACCTCACCTTCTCCACCACAATTGGTTTCCCCTTAGCCAACGTAGCCTCTTCATTTCTTCCTCATCGGCTCTTCATCTTTCAAAAAAAAAAACCCTAACTTCAGGATCCTCATCAGTGTTCTCATCGAAAATATACAGAATTTAGACAAGTCCGTCGACCTTCTGCAGAGATTTACCTTCAGAATCTGGGCTCTGTACGGGTCTCTTCGCCAACCAAATCGTCGCTAGCCTCATTGCCAAAATCGACTCCTTCGCCCACTGTGGCAAATCTTTCGCCTTCAACACCGTCTTCATCCCTTTCTCCTGGGGGCATGACTCTCTCTCTCCGTCCATTGGAACTTCATCACCTGCTATGGTGCCGACAACTTCTCCACTGGCTCCACTTACTACTCCACCACCGGCCTCCACTTTTGACAATGGTGGTGTTGTGAACATAATTACTATCTCTGGATCTACTGCTCTTCACCCACTCCTAATGGTCTCTTTCATAATCAGTTAAAATATGCTCGAGATATACTTACTATTTCTCATTTGCTCGATAGCAAAATAGTCCACAATGCACCGACCCCATTCTGTCTCCGCCCCTCTCTCTCTCTCTCTTTCTTTGTCTAAAATACACCCTAGAGTCTGCATTCTCAGTTTTTGTCATCTTCTTCCTCTGGCTCTAACGGCCACCACGTCCACACTTCCTTCTTCACAGTCACCATTGAACCCTCTCTTTCGCCCTTTTCTTATAATAAAGTCATCGCTTTAATTCTGTCCATAAGAAGTGATCCCATTTTTTTAAAACAACCGTGGGTTGTGGACTATAGAGATGAAATCTATATCTTGCATCTCTATAGTCCATAAGCCACCGTTGTTTCTCAACCCATAATTGCTGATGGTTCTCTTTTCTTTACACCTATTTTCTATCGATCTCCTTTGACTTTATCGAGTTTCTCTTTTGACTCGTCAATTTATATTTTCCCAATTTCTTCTTTTTCTTTCTCTGTTTCCATACTCTCTAGTTCCATCCCATTATATTTTTAACTTCAATTTCTATATCTTCCAATGTTTGATTTAGTAATTCTTATAGGAATTTTCCCTTCTATTATTATTATTATTAATAGTTTTCTCTCTTTATTCTCCTTCTTTCTCCGGTCTTCCCCTCCTACTTTGTGGGTTAAACGTATTCCGGTAGGAGCCAAAGCCGAATCGCCATTGTCCGATCATCCCTCTAAAGTTTTCGATGGTCAAGAAACCTATGTCACCCAACCAGACGTCTCCTCCAACCCAAGTTACTAACATATTCACAAAAACTGTTTCTTGACCTCTCTTTGAATTTTTTAGATCCAAGTTTGGAGTTCATTCAACTCTGACTCTCAGCTTGCGGGGTGGTAACGATATTTATTCATGAATTATGGTTTACTATATATATATCATATCTGACCATTTATTATAAGCAAATGTCTAGATATTTGCCTTGACTACTTACCATACCATAGTTATCATATTTGTCATTTTTATTATAGTTACTAATTTATTGTTCTTTTCATATCATTCGTAATTTATTTGATTCTCTAAATGATGTTGATTTTTAACGTCATTATACCTCAACCCTTTATTTCAGATGGATTTTTGTTGGATAAGATTGATTTAAGTATTTTGGTTAGGGATTGACAAATAACTTTAGCAAACAAGGTTTAGAACGGTGATTAAACTAAGTTAAAGACAATTTTTTGTTAGACGACTTTTAAATGTTTAAAATTGTTAGATATATGTGCATGTCTGCTTTGTGATTGTTATTGTAAAATGACCTAATATGGTAAAAGAAAGTTGTGGTAATTTCATGTCGGAGGGTATGGATCAATTGTACCACTATGTGCACATGCTAGGTATCCAATGTTTTGATTCTTGGTCATTCAGTTGGCCAAGGTGTCTGATTTCAAGATCATGAACAAGTTTTTCATGTTTTGGGTCTGGTCACAAATTCGTCGATCAATGCTTATAGGTTAAGATAGAAGCTTAGGGTGGTTGTCCTAATTCAAATAGGGTCACTAGAGGTGTACATCGAACATGACAACTCAAACCGAAAGTATTATATATATACTTTTTAACTATAGATTAAAAGTTGAAATTCGAATAGTAAAATTACAATTTTATCCTTTGAATTAACCTCCCAAGAATCTACCAAAGTTCCACCAAACTACCATCCATTGTTTTTGCTACACAAAAAAACAAATACATTCTTGAAGCATTCAAGAAAATTGTGTTCCATTTTATTACATATCTACAATCAAGGCATATCCAGCATTGCATCATCTGTTATTTCTCCCCCACTCTTTTCTCAATCGATTGGACTTCACGCTACTACAAATCAAGGCATAAATTATATAAATTTGTTCCTTAATCGCGCATAAATCGCGTGGAGTTCATACTTTTTTCGGTTCAGTTACTTTGTTTGCAATAATCATCAAAGATTAATGGCACAAATGAAAACTGCAGCAGAGATTGTTGACACACGGAAAACCCAATTTCCCTGTTAAGCTCAAGCTTTGATTTCATCATTTTCCTGATCAAATCGCTTCAAATCTGATCTGAAAAAACCCTAACCCTAGAAATTTCCTTACAGATTGGCGAAGAAGAAGAAGGGAGGGAGAGGAACAGAGTGAAATTACAAGAAGAAGAATGTGGGTTTCACAGTTTTCCGATCTTTTTAGTCTGTGTTTTTGAATCGCAGATCTTCGACGGCGTCGATGATAAGCGGTTTTCTCAGGCCAAAGCAACGAAGATCTACCGACAACACATTTCTCGAATTGACGGTTACCCCATATGCCCCACTCTGTTGAATCCTCATCAGAGCACTGCAATTCCCATCACTGGAAAGTAAAAGAACTAAAACCGGCACGACGGTCGCCGTCATGGGAGCTGAGAAGAAATGGCTCTTCACTCTCTTCTCCGCCGCTTTCCTCTCTCTTCTCCTCCTTTTATTCTCTTCCATTTCTGCATTCAGTTCTCCGCGATCCATTCCCTCAATAATCCACCACGGAGCTCCGTATCCTCCGGCGTTCGCCTACTACATTTCCGGTGGCCGTGGTGACAAGGACCGAATCTTCAGGCTGTTGCTCGCCGTCTACCACCCCAGAAACCGCTACCTTCTGCATCTTGCGGCGGATGCTTCCAACGACGAGCGGCTGCAGCTCGCTGTGACAGTGAAATCGGTGCCGGCGATTCGTGCCTTTGAAAATGTTGATGTGATTGGAAAGCCCGATCGAATCTCTTACATGGGATCATCTAATGTTGCCACTATTCTTCATGCTGCATCGATTCTTCTCAGAATTGAGAGTGGGTGGGACTGGTTTATCACTTTGAGTGCCAGGGATTACCCGCTGATCAGTCAGGATGGTAATGCCAATTGGGTAATTGTTTCTTGTTGCGTTTATCGTCACATGCCAATTGGGGAATGGAGTAGTTCTTACCCTTTTTTGTGTGTGTGTGTTTTGTTATCAAATCTGTGGATTAATGTCAATGTGTTGTTTGATTGTTTGTTTATTTGATTCTTTGGCTCGTCTTCACCTAGGGGAGGTATATATGGCAATATTTGGGGCTTCTTGACCTGTAATTAACAGAGTTAATGAAGTTGGTTGGAAGATTGTTATACCCTTTAGCCAATTTTGGTTCATATGATGTTTTTTTGTTCATATTTAGGTTCTGACTATTGGATGGATACTCTGTTTATTATGTTATTGCTGCATTTCCCGAAAGATTAGTGAACCAAATCATAATAATTTGATGGCTTTCTTAGATTGAGTAACTTGAAAGAGCTCTCAAGCGCTTTTAGGATCTTTTATATGTTTATATGTTTTTTGGGATATGAAACCAATTCAAATATCAATGCTTATCCTTGAGAACTTCTCTTCATATTGAGTCATTTGATCTGTGAAGTCTTCATACGACAGTCGATTCCCGAGAATTACTCTGTTAAAGACCATAGTCACTGTCACCTTCTATATTAGAGCAAACTGATGGATTAGCTTTGTTTTAGTTCGATGTTTTCTTCGTACCGTAATAATATTTGAGGTTCAACAGTGATGTGCTATACCTGGATTGAACTCTCTGGTACAAAATTTGAACAATGCCAGAGCAACCATTTTCATCTCATTTAACATTCACTTTACAGCTCTTTCTTACTAGAACCAGTAGGAATCTTATCTATAAGAGACTATAATTGAGGATCTCTTATGGTTTGTGAGAATCATTAGTTTTTAAAAGTGTAATAATTGGAAATTTCAGCCATTTGTTTTTACTTTCATCTTGTATCAGTGCATTTTACTTAGAGGCTGGGAAGTGTACAAAGTTGTTCGACTCGATTTCCATGAGTTTCTTGGCTTTTCCTTGCAAACTAATGTCTTTCTTGTATGTTCTTTCAGATTTGTCGCATGTGTTTTCATCTGTTAGAAGAGATCTCAATTTCATAGATCACTCAAGTGACCTTGGGTGGAAAGAGTAAGCAAATACGAGTTTGCGTTATATGCTGTTATGGTTGTATTGCAGTATAATATTCAGTGTTTGGCAATGCAGAGGTCAGAGGGTCCGGCCAATTGTGGTTGATCCAGGGTTGTATTTGGCTAGGAGAACTCAAATATTTCATGCCACTGAGAAGCGGCCAACGCCTGATGCTTTCAAAATATTTACAGGTTAAAGTTGATTTTGCTACCTTTCTCCTTCTTTTGTGTTTTGTTCCTCATGCATTCTACTTGGTTAAATGCTTGCTGAAGGATATTGTACCTAAGACCTTATCTCCGACGCGTTTGCAGGTTCCCCTTGGTTCATCTTAAGTCGATCTTTCCTTGAATTCTGTGTTCTCGGGTGGGATAACCTTCCTCGGACGCTTCTTATGTATTTTAACAACAACGTTTTATCACAAGAAGGTTACTTTCACTCTGTCATTTGCAATTCAAATGAGTTCAAGAACAAAACTGTTAATAGTGATCTAAGATTTATGATTTGGGATGATCCTCCAAAGATGGAACCCCTTTACCTCAATGTATCGAACTTCGATGTTATGGCTGAAAGTGGTGCTGCATTTGCTCGAAAATTTCATAAAGATGAGTCTGTGCTGGACATGGTCGATCAAAAAATTTTGAAGCGGGGACACAACCGACTTCTTCCTGGGGCATGGTGCTCGGGTCGGAAGAGCTGGTGGATGGATCCCTGCTCGCAATGGAGTGATGTCAATATCTTGAAGCCTGGATCACAAGCTAAGAAGTTAGAAGAGTCCATAAAGAATCTTCTTGACGACTGGAACGCTCGATCGAATCAATGCCAATGAAAGGCAATACAATGGAAAGATCAAAGTGAGTTGCATTGTTTTACGAACGAAGCGTTAAGAGGTAAATTGTTACATCAGTTGGTTACAAATTACAAGATTTGATTTTGTTTGGGGGGGTAGCCATGTTCATAACAGGTTAGAGAAGATGAAAAGATGAGGCATATTATTGTTGAGGTTTTGGATATGATGAAGTGTTGAAATGGGGCTCTCAACAATTTATTCAAACAATACGAACATTTATCCCTTCTTTCCTTTTCTTCCATTTTCGCAACTCTACTCTGACGTCCTTTATCAACGACTCACCCCTCCTAATTCATTCATTAAATTCTCATTTCAAAGTTGAGATTGTGATATTTTGGTGTTGGTTACTTTGGATGAGTTTTAATTCTAGGGGTTCAAAAAATTCAATAACTCGAAAAATCTATAAACTCAACTCAAAATACAAAAATTCAATAACTCCGAAAAATATATAAACTCAACTCAAAATACAATTTGAGTTGGGTTTAGACCAAGGGCGAACGGCATGAACCACCAAGGTATTTGATCCCCCGACTCAACATTGAAGAGGTCTCGTGCGTGGCCATCATCTTGTCGAATCTGAGCTCTGTGATAATTTTATAATTTATAGTTTACTCAAAATTATATAATTCTTGGACAGATCAAAAGATAAGTGCAAAAAATTTAGAATCTAAGAACCAAATTAACAATTAAGTGAAATATAAGGATTAAAAATGAGATTTAAGCCTGCATCAGTAAAATAGAACCACATGAACAAAAATCACTATATTTGAAGTTCTATGTTACAATTAAATTATTCTAAGAGTTTTTCCAAGCATTGAAATCAACCCCCCAATAAAAAGAATGAAGTATGAACCACAAGGAGTGATGGTGAGAACAATTTTTGCATATTTTGATCGGTCTTAAGATCGGTCTTTATCAGCTTCATTTCCATTGAGACGCCTTCTCAAAGCTCAAGATCATCTCTTCAGATTGAGGTAACCGAATCCTCATCAGTTCCTTCACTGTCACTGCTGCCACTGCTACTTCCACTGCTGCTGCCACTGCCTGATTCACTGCTACTAGAACTCGAACTCTGCTCGTCCCTGCCCTCTGCATTAACCTGAGCTCTCAGGGCTGCTGCAGCTGTAGGCCCCTCCCTGCCCTCTGCATTAACCTGAGCTCTGAGAGCTTCCGCAGCATTAGGTCCCTTCTCAGCTTCGTCACCACTATCATCCACATCAGCAATCTCATCGTCGGTATCATTATGATGTGGTACATTTATATCGAATCCAGCGTCAACTTTATCTTCTTCAGCATTATTTTCATCATCAGATGAAACAGACCCAAAAATATCATCAATATCTATATCTTGATGCTCATCATCATTCTTAGGGCCTGGAGAGGGAGCAGATACGTTTGGTGGATCTGATGAGTAATCAGCAGGCCCTTTACTAGCAACAACAGATTTTGCACCTGCAATGAGCATAAACATATTTTAGACAAGAGGTAAGAAAAAGATAATAATCAAAACAGCAGCCCTTACAGAGTTGAAACACGAAGAATCGTCAGAGAACATAAGACAGGAACTATGTAGCTAATGAAGAACCACATTCTGTAGATCAAGATTCTACTGTTTCTCAGCCAACAAAATGTAGGGGGGAAATAAGTATAGGAGTGAAAAATGTTATTAAAAAACCATACACAAATGAACCCCTGATAACGGTTAAAGTTGCTGCTAATGGAACAAAAAACAAATGCCAATTTGTTGCATGAGGCCCTACTAATTACAAAAAGAAATGTTACACTAGATGCACTTTCTAACTAAAACCGTCCAGTTGAAAGACTACACGAACCAGTTGCTGAAATGTTAATATTTCATTTCATAATGCATTCGGAAGTTCGATTAAGAACAATATTGTATGACTAAATCTGAATTTTCGAGAAAGGAGTACTAATTCCTGGGAAGAATGGTGTTCTAACAAAGAAATTAAAAGACATCTAGCGACAAGATTTCAACATCATTGTACAAATTAAAGCAATAAATTCTACTAAAGATAAATGTTGTTCGGCTTGACTCATGAGTAAAACAGGTTGTTCAATATTTAGGGCCATACTATCTAATCATTGACAATAAAAATTAAACAAAAATCTAGAAACAAAGAAGAAAAATACATTTAGAAGATAGTTCAAAATTATCAGACAAATGGTCAATCAAATGCATTTATTCTTAACGTTTCTCTGGTTAGGAATGATGCAAGAGGCCTGTAAGGACGGGATCTTACAGACAACGTTACATCCTGACTGAATAGCAGTGATCTTCCCATAATAAGATTTGAGGTAAAGAAAAAAAGTTGCATCATACTAACATATCTCACTCAAGAACTTAAGATCCACCCCTATGAGGAATAAAACAGCTCTCACATTGGCTTTAGGTATACAGATGCAGACTAACTGCATCGCTACTTTCTTTGGATCTCTGTAACAAACGTAATTTGTCATTATTCTTTCATTCTTAACAAAGCCCTTTTCTAAGTTTTATGTGTGACCAACAGAGATCCTTTTGTTGGGCTTTCTCTCTCATTATTTTTGCATTGCCTCTTGTTTCATTCATTTAAAAGAAATTAAAAAACTGCATGCTGTAAACTAAGATACCCACCAGGCAGAAACAACCACAATGGATAAAGTAGGTATGGGATCCAATTTCAAAATCATAGGTAGTGTTTGCTCTGAAATCTTTTCACAATCAACAAATATCATGGCGATGGACAGCCACTTGATTGCAACAAAAGTACATACCAATTGAGAAAAAATATAATAGAACCAGAAAAGCATATTGACCTGTATTTCCTGGCTCTCCAATATCTATCTTTTCCACCTCTACCTGTAAGTGCAGCACGTATTAGAACTAAAGGGCATAGTTATACAATCAGCAGAAAGTATTAGAACAATGAACAGGGAGAAGGATAGAAAAAAAAAAAAGTTCATTGAAAATTAGCTGGAATATAAAAGTACACCAATACTTCACCTAGTCTAAGGGTTAGCTGCACTTTTCAAAATGAAATTGTTAACTAGTCATATTTTCTCAATCTATGCTTCTCATTTGTTAAGAAGAGTAAAACACTTCAAATGAATATGTGATTCTTGCCTGACAGAAGCAAGAAAGATTTAAAGAAACTTCTTGAGCATGGAAATTCCCAAAATTCAAATGCTTTTTCTTTTTGATATAAGTTTATGCAATAGGAAATTAATCATGAAGAGTTCTTACTAGCACCGACGGAAAGCTGCCTCGGCCCATATGCATGGGTTTGGGAACTTTAGCCGCTGGAGGAGATAGCCGAGGCTCCGGCGGCGTCAAAGAATGAAGGGCAGAGGCGGAGGTGGACGAGGCGGCGGCCACGCCAGCGGCAGAAGATTCGCCCGGCTGACGAAGGTGCCGAAGCTGCTTGACCGCCCGGTGCAGCCGCTCCAACCGGAATGTCTCGCCATCAAAAAACAAAACGGCATCATTCTCCTTGTAATCCTCACTACTACCAACAAACGCCACATTAGGTTTCCCCAATTGATTGTTCTGAAATTCAATAGTAACCCTATTTTCCTTGGTCTTCTTCAGCGATCCCGGTTTCGTTTTATCGATCGACGCGGGTTTAAATTCATCTAAAACCGCAATGGACAAACAATTCAAACGATTTGACGGTTGAGGGGGAAAAGAAAAAAACAAAGACAAAAACAAAAACTGATTTCGCACATCCCGCAGTTTCGCGGGAAAGGAAACTCACACCAATTGTGTCTTGATTTTAGATTTGGAATAAATTGGAATGACTTACATCGGAGAGTGCAAAATTTGTTGGAGGATTCGTTGTTGAATGAAGGACCTAGAGACAGATCATACCATCGATCGGGCTGGGGCGCCGTCTTCGGCTCTTCTTTGTTGTTGTTCGCCATTGCTGGAGAAAGCAAAGGGGCGAATGAAAGTGGAAGTACAAAATACGAGTGGTGGGTCCCAGCGGCAGTGACGCTCTGTGGATTAGTGATTCTTTATGGAAAATAATTTTAGGTTCAAAATCACATAAACCATATAAATTTATATCCGACTCAATTCCCATTGAATTTTATCTTATTTTCAAGATTCAATTCAATATTTTTCAAGTATTAATGGATAAATTATGAACATTGTATTGATCCCACTTCCATTTAAAATAATTTATTTTTAAATTATTTTTGGCACATAAAAATTAAGAGAGGCATACAGCAACACATCTATCATTCTCGGGTGACCCACAAATGTTCTTCCCTGGCATGTCGTCGTGTCACACCACCCACGACAATAGCTCACTCAAGACAAAATACAAACCTCAGTTGTCAACCAATACTCAAAAGTCATTCTTTCGTACCTCTACAATCCATACACTACTTGTGGGACGACAAAGGACACACACAAGCTAGGGCAAATCCAACTATAATTCATGGTTGATGAAAAGTTATCCTTGAACAAACTTAGTGTTTTTTTTTTTCTTTAAAAGGTACATAATATTTATTTTAGCATATAAACAGTAAGCAAAGCAACAAACAAGTATAGAAAATCAATGCAATAAATAAATATCAAAGAATCAAAGCAGTAAACAGGTACATTGAAGTGACAATGATCCTAAAACCAGTTAGAGAATCCATGCTCTAACTGTTTTAGCTCTAACAGTTTTAGCTTGATCTTTTAGCTCATTCAGCTGAATTTGATACATTCGATCTCTCTCCTACCATTTTCGACTCTTCAAGAGGCATTTTTGACAGTCTTAAAGGAGTTCAATGGACTATATTTTAGTTAATTTATACTATTTTGAGCTAAGTTTAGATTAATTTATGTGAGCCAATTCCATAGTGGAATTTTTGAGTTGGAATTAGATTTCAAATAGCATATCATCAATGGAGTACAGTGACTCTAGTTTAGGCTAACCAAGTTGTGGTTTTAATATTGGCTTGGTTGGATGACTTGTTTGTTGTACGAATGATGCATGCCCTGTGACACTTGCACATGTCATGTTTTAATGATTGTTTGACGTGTGTTATGTTAATGCTATGATATAAGTTAAATTATAAAGGGACATGTCATCAAGTTCTTGATCGACTTAATACATGTGATAGGCTACAAACCGTTACAGGTAGATACAAACTTAAATTATAAAGGGAAGCCAGTAAGAATCCTAGCTTATGAGGTGAAAGCCCGGTGCATTAGAGCATCGCGTTTGTCAAAGTATTATGGTAG